TGTACCTGAAGATATTTTTCCCATTGCTTTTTAGAGAGAGTGGAAGGGAGGGAGGGAGAGAGAAAGAGAGAAAGAGATCGATGTGAACCATACATGCCCTTGACCAGAAATCGAACCCTCGACCCTTCAGAGCTCAGGCTGACACTCTAATCACTGATTTCGAATGAACTCAAGAGTAGAGAGCCCAGCACATAAACCTCCATGTACCCATCACCTGCACCAACGCTTACTGCCCAATCTGCCTAAGAGGGCCCCATACCAGTGATGGGAGAGCCACACTCAAGGGGCCAAAGAGCCGCATGTGGCTCACGAGCCGCAGTTTGCCGACCACTGATCTAGGCGATCCGCTGTGTAAACTATGCATTGCATTGCTGAGAAGTCTTAGTACGAAAAAAGCTAACTCTCAACAATTTCTATAGATTGCACGTTGAAATGGTAAGACTTTCGCTAGATTGGGTTAAAATAAAATATAACAATTTTGCCTGTTACTTTTCACTTTTTAAAGTATAGCTTCTAGAAAATGCTACATTCCATGCAGGGCTCACATTCTATTCCTAGACTCCTGCATAGTAGGTGTTTCCCCATCAGGAGGCTTGGAATGCCCGGATGTCCCTTTTGAACTCTATTTCTGGGAATGCTGGCGTTCGTGGTCACAGCCTAGATGCGCCGCTTCACATACTGGCCGCGGGCTGTTGGAAAGCAGACCGGGTCCTTTCCTATAGGAAAGGCAGGGAAAAGCCTTGATTCTTTTTCTTTCTTTGCCAGATTTCAAATGATGTGGTTTCCCCCAACATTCCTCCAAAACACATCAGTTTTTGTTGTTCATCCTCACCCGAGGATATTTCTCCATTGATTTTTAGGGAGAGTGGAAGGGAGGGGGAGAGACAGAGAGAAACATCCATGTGGGAGAGACACATCGATTGGTTGCCTCCTGCACGCACCCTGACCAGGGCCAGGGATGGAGCCTGCAGCCAAAGTACATGCCCTTGACCAGACTTGAACCTGAGACCCTTCAGTCCGAGGGTGGATGCTCTACCCACTGAGCCACACCGGCCAGGGCGGGTCAGTTCGTTTTGTGTACCTTTATGAACTCATGGATTTGAGCAACTTCTGTGTTTGTACTTATATTCATTGCAGCCACCCTCACTGATGCTCAGAGCAGCCCATGTTGATCCAGTTGGGACTCCAGGCCACTGCCCAGTCTCTCAGGCACGGTCCCAGCAGCCTGTGTATATACACACGCCCCTCACACTTTCTCCCTCTTCACCTGGAACCCACGGTTTCTCAAAGGAACCTCAGTCCTTTTAGAGGGAAAAGGTGTTTAGAGACCACAGTCTGAGAGCTAGTGGTGCTCATTCCCATTGGTCATGGTTTCTGAGCCTTTTCAGTGGACAGAACTAGGGAACACTTTTTGAGATAAAATTTGTATCAGTTCACAGTCCTACCTTTAACTCACCAGATCACAGGTTTATTAGAAAGAGTTGTAGCTCGGGAACAACCAGATGGAAGAGGGGAAGAAGTGAGGAGCCCCATGCCCTCTCCAGGCATCCCCCTCTCCCCGAAGCTCCCCATGGTCACCAACACGGAAGCTCCCGTACTTCTAATTCAAGTTCAGCGCCACACTCTCTATCCAATCTCAGCAACGTTACATTCGCATTTCCTTCCTCCCATGCCCCGAATCCCAGCTCTCAACAATACCAAATACTTTTGCTAAAGCTCAAACAACAGAAAGGACAGTTTCAGCACAAGGATGAGGTCACTGAGAACAACATAATGGGTTTTTGCTTAGGGCAGCCGTGGGCAAACTACGGCCCGCGGGCTTGAAATGAATAAAACTAAAAAAAAAAAAAAAGACCGTACCCTTTTACGTAATGATGTTTACTTTGAATTTATATTAGTTCACACAAACACTCCATCCATGCTTTTGTTCCGGCCTCCGGTCCAGTTTAAGAACCCATTGTGGCCCTCGAGTCAAAAAGTTTGCCCACCCCTGGCCTAGGGTAAACCCACTAGGGATTATATAATCAATTTATTGTGTCTTAAAGCCACTAGGAATAGCTCCTTTCTGTATGGGTGTGCTACCAAGTGAAGACAGTGTTAGGTTCGTTTCATTTTTCCTTTTGATTCCTAGGCATTGCTTCTGGTTTATAATTATACGAACTCTAAAGTCAAATCTTTAGGGCCATTCAGAGGCTCACCCTTTCATCCCTTCCCCCTGCAGCCTGCCCTCTCCCCGAGGGAGTTTTTAAGGCAGATGTATGTTTATGCCTAACTCCCCATTCCCTGGGTAAACAGCAGGAAACCACGGATACTCTTCTTCCGGTCTCCCATCTCAAACAATCTGGCTCCCGACCAAGTTGTTCGAATCATTTCTGCAAACCCATTTCACTGGGCTTGTTATTTCATTCTCTCCATCACTCCCACCTGCCAGAAGTGACTGCCTTAAAAATCAGCAAACGATTCACAGTGGTTTTAACTCCGCGGTGGGGTGGGGGGTGGGAGGAAAGGCTGGCTTGCGATGGCAAAGAGCCTCCATGTCTGAAATGCTTGGGCGTTTCTTATAATCAGAAAAATTAATAGACCAAAACCACTTACCTGTCAGCTGCCCTTTGTGTTCTGTGCATCCCACGCTTCATCTGGTGCCCCAAGTCCACCCAAAAGGGGTTCCCTTGCTCGCTCCACGCTGCTTCCTGGCGGTGCTGGGTTCCGTTCCCAGCCATGCCCGGCTTTCCCACCTGCCAGGCGGGAGTTTGCTGACCCCTCCCCCTCCACGTACTTCAAGACCCTCCCTTCCAGCACATAATATCCCCAGCCTCGTCCCTGACCCCAGAGCCCGCTTCGTCTGCTCTGCCTACACATTCTCAGGGTTCAATGCCGGTCTGGGCCGTGCTCAGGGCATTCTGAACGCAAGTGGACTTGAATCAAGTTATCAAATCTTTGGAAGAGCCAGGGGAATGTGAGTCAGGGACCACAGCGGAACCACTACCATCACCGCTTCTCATCACCTACAAAGCTGAAGACTCAGCGTTGTAAGGCTGGTCTAGTCACTCCAACTGGTCAGCGTGTCTCCCTGCAGCCACTAGAGCAGGGAGATGCCAATACCTTACTCTGCCTTCCAAACCAAACAGATTCCTAGCTGCAAGGGAGTTCAGTAGTTTTCCGTTTTCAAACCTCTGCAGCTAAGGAGGACCTAAAAGGAAGTGGGACGGAAATGGAGGGCCAAGTAGCAGTCCCCAGTGTGGATCCTGCAGTAGAGGAGCAGAGAGGTCAAAGGTATAGGCCTTGACTATCAGGCCATGCGTTTGTACTTGACCTAGAAAGTGACCAGAAAACATGAGGTCCGGAGGGCGAAAACACACAACAAAAGCCCAGTTTCTGGAAAAGCACTCCCGAAGATAAAGGGCTGGCCACGACGGAACTGCTTGGCCAAGACCAAAGGCAATGCAAAACCTGACCGGGGCTTCAAAGATGGGGGAAGATGAGGATTTGAGACGTCAAAACATATGGCCACAAATTGGGCTTTCAGAATAAGACTCCAAATCATATTCTGGGCATAACTCCCCTGAAATCCTCCAGTCTGCTTTGGTTCAGAGACTATACATCGCCCTACAGTTATCTATAGGAGATTTGCCATCAATAGCACTTTAAAAAAATCTGTGAGAAACCAAAATGGCAGCGTCGGCAAACGCCTGTCCTCATGACCTCCCACAACCACATCACAATGACAACTAAAATACAGAACCACCATCACCCAGAGCCGCCGTGCTGGAGACCCAGCTGCTCCCCTTAAGGGGCCGACGCATGAACTTACACGGCCAGGTTCTTCCTAGTTCCAGCGATGGGACCCAGAAGCAAACCGGGAGGAGCTGGACTGTCTGGCATCAGGGCAGGAACTCAGGGGCGGCTTTCTCCCAGGCGCGGTGCTCGCAGGGGTCACTGTTCCTGTGCTGGGACGTTCCCTGGTAGGAGAGCTGACTGGCAGCCCTACCTGAGTCCCCAGCAACCTGGAGCACACTGTTAGCTCCGCCCAAGTTGTTTGCAGCAGCTTTTCCATATGAATGGCCAGTCCTGGCTCTCAAACAAGCTGCGGCTGGTGACAACGTGCCCTACACCTATCAATAAAAGGCCCAAGACCCTGCACAGCACCAGCCTGCCTTGCTTCACAGCTGGGCCTCCCTCCTGCACAGCAGCTCTCCCACTGTAGTACCAACTGGTCCTCACAGCCAGTTGGCCTGGAGGTCAACTCCTCCCAGAGACGCACCTACAGGGCCCAGCTCAGGTGACTGACTGGGGAGGCTGAGCCACTGGGAAATAATGGAAAACTCACTACACAGGCCACTCTACCAACTCCAGGAG